GGAATTGTCGATTTAAACAAAATATTAACAACAATATCATGAAACTAAAAATTACACATTTTTTTTTAGGTTTTTCTTTAATATAACCACTTTTTTTTTAAATAACCGTTTGGTTTGGAATTGGTCCTTTTGGAAAGGAAAACCGGCTCATGCCTAACATTATAGCCCATTGGTATATATGGGTCTTACATATAAAAAATTCAGAATACGATTTCCGAATTAGCAGATCCGAAACACGATCTACCCGTATTTCAGACCAAATTTCCAGCATGGATTCATCAAACCAATTAAGTTTTACACTTTAAGTTATTTGCATTTGATTTTTTGAAACGATTTATGTATTCCGGAATGGTCCGGACGACGAGTAACAACTCCGAAATATCCAAATTATCTTTTTTTTTTATCTTTTCTTATTGTACATGTATGAATGTTATGTAAATACTTTTTAATATGTTTCTGATCGATTGTTTTAGTCTGGAATTACATATTGTAGGGGTTCCAGAATTGTAATGTAGGTCCGAAACACGATGAACGTTGTCCAGAACTTGATGATCTATTCCGGAACGATGATCCGAAATACATATAATATACATTTTTTCTCTAAGTGTTAGGATATGATTTATGATTTATAATTTACTTTTGATAACTTTTAGAGTTCTCGGTCTAGGACCGAAAACACCATGTTCTCGGTGGTGTTTGGACCGAAATCACATGGTGATTTCGGTAGGCTTAATGAGGTTTTCGGTTGGGTTTTGGGCTAAGCCTTTGTAATTAGGTATATATATATATATATATATATATATATATATATATATATATTATATATATATATATATATATATATATATATATTCTTGTTTCAGCCGTGTAAAGGGTTGGTTATTCTAAGGAATTGAGATCGAGAAAGAGAGAACCGGGAGCAAATTCAGAATCTTATGTACTAAACTATTATCAATATAGTGTGCATTGAAGATTGATAATTGTGTTCTTAATTCATAATAACTATTTTTGGGTTAACCATTGGATTGGGATTCCACACCAATTCTAGTGATTTCGATTGATATTGGGTTTTACAGTTGGTATCAGAACAAGGTTTGGTATCAATCGAATTGGCCTAAATATTAAACGTTTCTTGGAATTTTCTGGTGTTTTTGAGTTAATTTTTGACGAAAATTATTGATGTTGTTCTTCGTGTTCTTCACTACATTAGAGTTTTTTTTTTTCGAGATTGGTTTTGATTGATTACAAATTTTGTCTTTTTGGGCATCTTCGGTTAGGTTTAGAAGTCATTTTGGCAGCAATCTTCAGTTATTGGTTAGGGTTTGAGAGTTTTTGGCGGCCAGCAAATCATCTTCAGTTACGGTTTTACAATTTCTCGGCCAGCTCCTCGTACATACCTTCGGAGCTCTCGGTCTCAGCCTCGGTGTTCTCGGCACAGCTAAGATTCTCGGTTAGGTCAGCTTCACTTCTCGGTACTTTTGGGTCTACATCTTCGATCAAGGTCTTCGGTCAGCGTATGTAGTCTGCTCTTTTTGCTTCGCATCCTCGGTTAGCTTCTCGGTTATAGAGATTTCTACTAAGATTTTTGGTCGAGAAACCTCGATCTCGGTCAAGTTTTTCTTCGGACAACAACAAAAAAAAATGACCTTCAAGGTTCTCGGTCAACAAGGTATTGACTATTGGTGGTTTCGGTTAAAGGGCATTTATTTTCTTGGTTTTCGGTCAAAATCCATTTACACAATCAGATTTCTTCTGTTGGTAAATAATGAGTTCCTACAACAATACTGTAACACCCATATTAATCATGCCAATTTAAAACTTTTTAAATCATTCAAAAACCAATAACTATTACAAATGTGTTTTCAAAATGGTTTCATGACAGAGTACCCCAGAATCAAATCATAAAAATATAAGGAGGTGCACGATCACACATTCGCCTTCCCGTGATAATCAAAAGTACCTGAAACAAAATCAAAAACTGTAAGCCTAAAGCTTAGTGAGTTCCCCTAAAATACCAACGTTATGCAAACCATATCAATATCATATAAACAACATGCATAATGAGCCATCAGCCTGACTGGACCGCCTCGCAGGACCATCAATCTATCTGGACCGCTCTCCGTGCCATCGACACGTCTGAACCGCCTCTTAGGGCCTTCAGCCTATTCGGACCGCTCACCGTGCCTTCGACCTAACTAGTACGCCCAAATTGGGTCTGTAGTCTATCTGATCTGCTGTGACATCCCCATTTTTACGGCCAGAAAAGACCGATTTGTTTATGTTTTGTTTTATAAATCAGAGTATTCTTTTAAAGAAAACAGTTGCGGAATTTGTTCCCAAAACAAGATATGATAAATACTTATCAAAACATTTCTCGAAGAGAATGTATTTTCATTTAATAATAAAATCTCAGGGTGTCATGTTCCGATACAGACATATAAGCATAAACAGAACTTACATTTAATTACACAATTGATTTATATCTCCTTTAAATCTCTCTGTGAAATATGTCTTCGTATTAATACCTGTGATACAAAGAAAACTGAGTGTGTCAGGCTTGGGAGCCTGGTGAGCATATAGGGTTTTCATCCCACAGTGTTATATCATATATTTATAAATATAAAACATTCAAACTTGTACAATTTCACCATATAAAGGCAACTCTTATCCCACCCCATCGATCCTCACAACGACACGACCTAAACTCTCGTATCTAAAATTTTCCTCTTTACCTGATCCCTACTCACGGATCTAAAACTACCTGATCCATACTCACAGATCTAAAACTACGTGATCCATACTCACGGATCTAAAACTAACCTCCTGATCTGATCCATACTCCCGGATCAATAATTGTACCCAATCCATACTCCCGGAATAAGGACAATTAGCTATACCCTAATCCTGATCTGATCCATACTCCCGGATCAATAACTGTGCCCAATCCATACTCCCGGACTAGGGACAATTAACTATACCTTAATCCTGATCTGATCCATACTCCCGGATCAATAACTGTGCCTAATCCATACTCTCGGACTAGGGACAATTAACTTAGTCTTAATCCATACTCCCGGACTAATAACAAGTTTTATCTCTTTACCTAATCCATACTCCCGTATCTAAAACTAACCTCTTGGTCTAATCCATACTCGTTGAATAACTAGATCAATAACAACAACATCGGGGCATCTCATCTGTTTATCACACATCAACTATCTACCTATGTTCTACCCAGCATATTAGTAGATAAAAATATATATTTTTATACATAGTTTAAAACCTGTATAACATTCTCATTCAATACCTATTCCACATAACAGTTGAGGCACACCCACATAACACGTATTTCATAGAGAATAAATCAGATCTATGAGATAGAAGAAAGTGAATATACATTCACGCATATAACAACAAAATATACACATAACACGTATTTTATATTAAATACTTAATAATTATGCGTTAGAAGAAAGTAACCACATACTCACTTGATTAGAAGATGATCGGACAGCACTACGACTTGTAGAAGTAGTATTCTTCGGCAGATCTGGAAGATCTTTACAAAAAACTGGACTCCTCGCGGGCAGAGCTTCGGCTCGGGAATCGTACTTCTCGGGATCTTCGGGGCCTTGAGACTTGCTTCGGGGCTCGGGAATGATACCGGGGCTTCGGGATATTTCTTGCACGAAAAACGATGCAAAAACGCGAGAAAACGGGAAGAAATGAGCAAACTACTCGACTGCCCTTGTAACATCCCGAAATAGCAAGAGTTGTGTGGAAGGGCTAAAAGTGTAATTTGGGAAAGAGTGACTCGTCGAGTCCATGGATGGACTCGGCGAGTAGAGTCGCGACTTGGTCGCGTGTTAAATGGCCGACTCGGCGAGTCATGGAGATGGACTCGGCGAGAAGGCGCTGAGTGGAGAAAACCCTAATTCTCGGGGTTGAGCCCTATATAAAGAGCATTATGTTTCCTCCCCAGCCTCTTTATCACCCTTTGAGTCCCTGAAACCCTAAAATCGTGGAGAAGCACCATTGTTGAGTGGATTGGGGCTTGGGGAAGTATTTGTTGAAGAAAGTTTGGAAGTTTGAAGGTGTGGAGCAAGGGGCTTTGCTTGGATTCGAGTTTCCTTGCAGACTAGGGCATTCTTTGAAGGTAAAATCTCGTTCTTGAGCTGCTATGGTCTTGTCTCTTCATTTTGGGGTTTGGGGGGAAACTTATCTTGGGTTATTTTGGAGTCTAAATGTTGGATCTGAGGTTGCTACCTCAGATCTGGAATGGAGGAGGGTTAGAATGCAGGAAAGTCCCTGTGTGGAGTGTTGGATGAAGCTATCTTGTCCCAAACCTTAGCCCTAATGTGCAAAATGCATAGATCTCTTTGGATTCACGTAAAGATTGGCACTTTACGTGATGGATGAGTTGTAGGAGGCTAGATCTATGTTTTGGATCAATTGCATGGTCTGGAACGCTTCCGTTTGGATTCAGACCGGTGGTACTCGGCGAGTCACATGGGTGGACTCGACGAGTTGCTTGAAGAGGAGCTGAGACTCGACGAGTTGGAAGAACAACTCGGCGAGTTGGATGAAGATGGTCTGGAACTCGACGAGTTGGATGAACAACTCGGCGAGTAGGTTGAAGATAGCATTAGACTCGGCGAGTCTGTTCTTGGACTCGGCGAGTCTTGTCGAAGAGTCCCAATATTTTCCGGTTGAGTCGAAGAATCGGCGAGTCAAGGGATGACTCAGTGAGTTATGTGCGAGTGGACTCAGAGTTGTTGGACTCGGCGAGTCTCGGGGTGACTCAGCGAGTTAGGTCGCGGATTGAGTGAAGTTTTAAGTTGGGAACTCGGCGCGTCATAGGGTTGACTCGGCGAGTAGGGTCAGTCAGGGGTTGACTTTGACCCAGTCTTTGACCAAGGGTTGACCAGTGGTTTCCAGGGGTATTTTGGTAATTATTGGTTATGGTTTTGAGTTCAGTGCA